CAGGTTATTGGTGTGGCCACACTTCTTCTTGTGGCAGTTGACAGCACAGGGGTGCAGGCGAGCATAGCACTTGCAGCAGCTCATCTTGTCCCAGTTGTATTTCTGGACGAGCTGGCAGAGAGAAGGCTCAATAATGCCATCTCACAGGCGCAGCACCAGGTGCAGGGTGGACTCTTTCTGGATGTTGTAGTCTGAGAGTGCGGCCATCCTCCAGCTGTTTACCAGCAAATATCAGACGCTGCTGGTCAGGTGGGATACCTTCCTTGTATTGAATTTTGGCTTTGACATTCTTAATGGTGTCACTGGGCTCGACCTCAAGGGTGATGGTCTTGCCCGTGACAGTCTTCACAAAGATCTGCATCTCTGTGTCTGCCACAGGACCACCGCCCCCAACCAACTGGGCCGCCTTGCTCTGAATTACTTAATTCTATAAGACTATAAACTTTGCAGGGTCTTGCTCTTCTGCCCAGGCTGGAGTGCAGTGGTGCAATCATGGCTCACCACTACCTTGACCTCCTGGGCCCAAATGATGATTCTTCTACCTTAACCCCGAGTAGCTGGGACCACAGGCATGTGCCACCACTCGTAATCTTTTTGTACTTTTTATAGAGATGGGGTTTCACCATGTTACCCAGGCTGGTCTAATTTTTTTACATTTTTTGTTGAGATGGGGTTTTACCATGTTGCCCACGCTGGTCTAATTTTTTTGCACTTTTTGTTGAGATGGGGTTTTGGCATGTTGCCCAGGCTGGTCTTGAACTCCTGGGCTCATGCTATCTGCCCACCTGAGCTTCCCGAAGTGCTGAGATTATAGGCGTGAGCCACCACACCTGGCCTGTTGGATTTTCTATAAAGTCATATAATTTGCAAAACAAAACAAAAACTTTAATTCCTTCTGTGCTTCCTCAGGTATCCAATAAAACAAAGTGACAGTAGCAGCCACCCTTGTCTCATTCTTTCCTTAAAAGGTATTGCTTCACACATTTCTCCATTAAATGTGTGTTGTAGGTTTTCTGATACATAATTTTTTTCTTTTTAAGGGACAGGGTCTCATTCTCTTGCCCAAGCTGGAGTGCAATGGTGCAATCATAAGCTCACTGTAATTCCTGGGCTCCAGCAATCTTCCTACCTCAGCCTTCCAAGTAGCTAGGACAACAGGTACATGTACTATGGCTGGCTTTTTTTTTTTTTTTTTGTAGAGACCAGGTTTTGCTATGTTGACCAGGCTGTCTCAAACTCCTGGCCTCAAGTGGTCCTCCCACCCTGGCCAAATTGCTGGGATTACAGGCATGAGTTACCAGGCTCCGGCTTGGTACATAATTTTAACAGGTTAGAAGTTTCCTGCTTTTTCAGTTGGCCAAGAGTTACTTCTCTTGAATGGTTTTAAATTTAATCGAAACAGTTGACATCTATTTGAGAGACAGCATTTTTTCTCCATTTTTAAAATGGTTAATGTAGGAATAACATTAGATTTTCTAGCATTATGCCAGCTTAATGTTCCTTGTAAACTCAACTTGACCGTGATGTATGACTTTTTTTAAAAAATCACAGGATTCCAGTTTGCTACCATTTTCTTTAGGAATTTCACGTCTTCATATACAGGATTGGCCCTTAATTATCTTATCTTGTATTATCCCTTTCTGGTTATGTTACCAGGGTTATACCAGCTTCATAAAATAGTTGAGGAGTGGTTTTTTTTTTTTTTTTTTTTTTTTTTGTTTTTTTTTTTTTTTTTTTTTTTTTTTTTTTTTTTTTTTTTTTTTTTTTTTTTTTTTTCCTCCGAGACAGAGTCTTGATCTGTTGACCAGGCTGAAGTACAGTGGTGTGATCTTGGCTCACTGCAACCTCCCAGGTTCAAGCAATTCTGCCTCAGCCTCCTGCGTAGCTGGGATTATAGGCTCACAGCACCAAGCCTGGCTAATTTTTTTTGTATTTTTAGTTGAGATGGGGTTTTACCATGTTGACCAAGCTGGTTTTGAACTCCTGACCTCAAGTGATCCACCTGCCTCAGCCTCCCAAAGTGCTGGGCAACAGAGCGAGACTCTCAGAAAAAAATAAAAATTTGTTGGCCCCTTTATTTAGCTAGTGGACCTTAGGGGATCCTAGCTCTATGGAAAGTTCTGTATCCTAATTCCCTTTTACACAAGCTCAGGTCTTGTCTCTTGAATCGTGTCCTAGGGGTCTAGAGATCAGCAATAGCACTTAAAACAGCTTCCACCTTAAAAATCCCTTTACCACTCTATGGATTCAAACTCCCATATCATTTTTGGTTCCTGAAAATTTTACTTTTTTGAGAGCTCGGCAATGTAAGTAAAAGAATGTTTTAAATTTTGCATCCAGAATGTTCAGGTGTTTTGTAGCTGACTTGTTTTCACTTTAGTCTGTCATAACCCCTGAAATGGAAGTGGGAAGTATCCAGTCTTTCTTTAGACTAATAAAGAAAAGATTTGCGTGTTTTTTTTTGTTTTTTGTTTTTTTTTTTTGAGACAAGAGTCTCGCTCTGTTATTCAGGCTGAAGTGCAGTGGCACGATCTTGGCTCACTGCAACCTCCGCCTCCCAGGTTCAAGCCATTCTCCTACCGAGCAGTTGGAATTACAGGTGCCTGCTACCATACTCGGCTAATTTTTGTATTTTTAATAGAGATGGGATTTTACCATGATAGCCAGGCTGGTATCAAACTCTTGAACTCAAGTTATTCACTCACCCAGACCTCCCAAAGTGCTGGGATTACAGGCGTGAGCCACTACACCTTGCTTGGGAGAAGTTTTAAGATTTCCAAAAAACTAAACAATTTGAATAGGGCTTTATAATATTGCGTACCCTAATATGGCATTGTCTAGTAGAAATTCCTTTGATAATGAAATGTTCTACATCTGTGCTAATATGGTAGCCACTAGTCACAAGCGGCTATCAAACACTTGCAAAGTGGCTGGTGTAACTGAGGAACTGAATTTTAAACGTAATTAGTTTTAACTGTGCCGCCATAAAGATTCCTTAAACTCTGCGGTTTAGTATTTAATAGGAACTCTACTAGCTGAGGCTTCCTATGAGCTCATCTTTTCCTTGAACCAGGCTTTTTTTTTGAGATGGGGTTTCACTCTTGTTGCCAAGGCTGGAGTGCAATGGTGCGATCTCAGCTCACCACAAATTCTGCCTCCCAGGTTTAAGCGATTCTCCTGCCTCAGCCTCCCAAGTAGCTGGGATTACAGGCATGTGCCATCATGCCCCACTAATTTTTTTATTTTTAGTAGAGATGGGGTTTCTCCATGTTGCTCAGGCTGGTCTGGAACTCCCAATCTCAGGTGATCTGACTTCCTCGACCTCCCAAAGTGCTGGCATTACAGGCATGAGCCACCATGCCTGGCACATTCTTTTTTTTTTTTTTTTTTTTTAAAGAGGCAAGGCCTTGCTCTGTTGCCCTGGCTGGAGTGGAATGGTGTGATTACAGCTCACTGCAGCCTCAAACTCCTGGGCTCAAGTGATCCTCCCACCTCAGCCTCCTGAGTATCTGGGACTACAAGTGTGAGCCACCAGGTGGGGCTTGAGCCAGGCTTTTTGAAGAGTAGAATTCTGGTTTTATATTTTATGAAAAATATACCTATATTGATGAATTTTTGCCAATAATGAATACATTTCTCTACAATTTCATTTCAAATGCTTGTTGTTTGCTCATTATATTTTAGCTACACAGGTCATTCTTATTTTTTTTTGAGACTGAGTCTTGCTCCCTGTCACCCAGGGTGAAGTGCAGTAGAGCGATCTTGGCTTACTGCAACCTGTACCTCCTGAGTTCAAGTGATTCTCCTGCCTCAGACTCCCAGGTAGCTGGGATTACAGGCGTATACCACCACACCCAGCTAATTTTTATGTTTTTAGTAGAGATGGGGTTTCACCACATTAGTCAGGCTGGTCTTGAACTCCTGACCTTGTGACCCACCCACCTCAGCCTCCCAAAGTGCTGGGATTACAGGTGTCAGCCACTGTACCCGGCCCATTCTTATTTTTAAAAAATGTCAAGCACATAACTGCTCTAGGGTCTCTGACATTTAATATTTACTCTGCCTGGGCTCTTCATATGGCCGGTTCCTTCTCATCATTCAAGTCTCAGCTTAAATGTCAGTCACCTTTTGAGAGGTCCAAGATCATCTTATCTAAAGGGCTTGACCAGGCATGGTGGCTCACACCTGTAATCCCAGCACTCTGGGAGGCGGACAAGTCACTTGAGGTCAGGAGCTCGAGACCAGCCTGGGTAACATGGTGAAACCTGGTTTTTACTAAAAATACAAAAAATTAGTCAGGCGTGGTGGAGGGCATCTGTAATCCCAGCTACTCAGGAGGCTGAAGCAGGAGAGTCGCTTGAACCAGGGAGGCAAAGGTTGCAGTGAGCCAAGATCGCACCACTGTACTCCGGCCTGGGTGACAGAGTGAGACTCTGTCTCAAAGAAAAACAAAAGGGAGGCCTCCTATCCCAGGCTCTTCACACTGTCCAGTTTTGTTCTATTAACAGCACTTAATCATTATTTTGCTTATGTCACATGCCCCATTTGAATATACATTTTGTGAAAGGAGAGGCTTCCTCTGTCTTGCTCAGAATTGATAGTGGCTGGCACATGGAAAATGGAGACCTGGAGAGGTTAAGTTACTTCTCCAAAGTTGCACAGCTAGTCAGTGTTAGGGCCCGACTTCATGGCTCTCAATTCTGGGCTCTTTTTGCAAAAACATAGCTACTCCACTGAAATTCCCTTCCTAACGGCAAAAAAAAAAAGTCCAAAAAAAAAAAAGCCCGGCAATTTTCATAAAATCAGGGTCTTGGAGTCAAGCAGGTTTTGTCATTGCCATTTGTCCTCCAGGATATATATTTTTTACTAGTCTTGAACGCAGGTTACAACCTCTTTTTGTATATTCTCAGAAGGTGAGGAATGGATCCAGGAAACCTGTGGACATGACAAATTTTTTTGTTGCTGTTGAAGATAATTATTCCAGATCCTAAGTCTCCCCTAATAATGCTTTCTGCCTCACACAAAAAAGTCTTTTATCCAACTCCTAATCTATATTTCTGGTAGAAAAAAATCCAAAAATTAGACTAACACATGGTACACCTTGTTACTGAACAAAAACTGACCGTAAATTGCATCTTGTTGCTAATGTTGAAAATGGCAAAAACTGTCCCACAACCATTAGATATGTCGAAAATCTAAACTCAAATCACTGGCAAAAATGTTTCACTGACTGAAACAATCAACAAAATTTAGATCTGTAAACACCAGGGAAAAAAGGGCTAACTAGAAACAATGGCCACCAAGCAAACTCTCAACAGCAGAAGTTACCAGTAACAATGTTACAGGGCAAAAAAAAAAGAGAAAGGAAACCCTGCGAGACGCATCATACCGCAAATCTTATCTCCAGGGAAGACGGGCAAAAATACAGGCAAACTAGATACAGAGGAGGGGAACGCCTCCAGCCCAGAAACAAGTGGGTGATGGGAATGGTTCTTCTGGCCCTGTACGTTTTCCCTTCTTTTCAGCAGAAAAGTGCTGAGTCCACAAAGGAAAAAACCGATCAGGATGAAAATTTCTCTAAAGCAATGAAAAGGGGGGAAAAATGGAAATAGCTTAAATACTCGGTATAAAAAAAGTGACCAAATTATAAAATGGGCTCACGGATTTGCGTCAGAAACGTTACTTCCCCGACAACTGGTCAACGTCGGTGTAAGTATCATTAAAATGTCAGTATTAAAACAAGGTCTCCAACACTCCCGTGGCCCAAGGGGGTCTTCGGCTACCGCTCCCGACCGTGGGCCTGGGGGTCCCTATTTCCTGCGCTCGCACCTCTAGCCCGCCGCTTTCGGGACTCTCAGCCTTCTTTTCCCTTCCCTCAGGGCCGGGCGGCACCTCAACCACGCCAAAGGCAGTAACTTGGCTGAAAGGAGCGCCCTGAGACAGGTCAGAGGGCTCCGCCATACGCGACCCGCAGCCACAAGAGCAGGTCCCCAGGCCGTGTGCGCCGGGAGTTAGCGACTCAGCCCAGCCCTGCAGCCAGGCTCGGGCGATGGGCGGAGCCAGCGCGAAGCGCGCAGGCGCACACCGCCTCCCGGGCAGCATGGCGGACGCAGAGCCTCAACCCAGCAAGAGAAAGCGCGAGCTGGACTTGGAGGAGGCGCACGTCGCCAGCACAGAGGAAAAGAAGGCAGACGTTGGAAATGGTACCTGTGCTCCTGTCCGCTTACCGTTCTCCGGCTTCAGACTGCAGAAAGTGCTGAGGGAGTCTGCGCGGGACAAAATCATTTTCCTACACGGAAAGGTACCAGAAGGCATCCCAGGGGTGGGACGCGGCAACCAGTGAACCAATCATCACTTCGGAAGCGGATTTTTTTTTTTTTTTTTTCCGGATCTCGACCGGAAAATACCAATCATCACTTGGGGGAGCGGAATGCGCCACTAGAATGCAAAGAGGGGCGGTAAAAGGCGGCAAGATTGCCCTTGAAATTAAGGCAATGAACGCATTTAGCTCTAGTTTTTCTAAGTGTCTGCTTGACTAGAAATATCTACTAGGAGAGTGTATTGCACATTAAAGATCACGTGTTACATTTCCCAAGTCATTCATTGTCATCCACTTATGTATACAGGGACTGGGGATCCAGTAAACGTTAGATGTCTTACTCATCCCTGACCCTGGAAACCGACATGAGACTGTAGGAGATGTGATCTCTGCCTTACACGACTTCAGCCCTAACAGGAGACAATATATTATAATTGTTAATTCAGTTCTACACACGCATTTTCATGCATGCCAGAGGCTGAGCTAGGTACTGGGGATGTGGAGATGAAAGTTAACATCCCCGATCTTCAGGACTATGGAATATTTCTGGCGAGACAGATACACACAGCTTGCTCCAATACCAACGTGCCCAGCCGTCTGGCAGGGGCTGAGGAGAGATGGAGACCATTCCAGGAACTAGTAAGGAGGCCCAGGCAGGGCAGGCATGCGGGTTCTCCAAAACTACTAGCAGGAACTCTTACCTTTGGGAGGATCAGGGAACCTTGGTCTAGGCTTCCATGCCTCTCTGTGTGTCTTTTTATTTTTGTTTTGTTTTTTGAGAAAGAGTCTCTCCTCTTTTTCACCCAGGCTGGAGTGCAGTGGTGTGATCTCAGCTCACTGCAACCTCTGCCTCCTGGGTTCTAGCGATTCTCCCTGGCTCAGCCTCCCGAGTAGCTGGGATTACAGGCACCTGCCACCATGCCCGGCTAATTTTTTATTTTTAGTAGAGACAGAGCTTCGCCATGTCGTCCAATCTGGTCTTGAACTGCTGACTTCAGGTGATCCCCCCTGCCTTGGCCTTCCTAAGTGCTTGGATTATAGGGTGAGACACTGTGCTGGGGCTTTTTTTTTTTTTTTTTTTTAGAGGTTTTTTTTTTTTTTTTTTTTTTTTTTTTTTTTGGGTTTTTTTTTTTTTTTTTTTTTTTTTTTTTTTTTTTTTTTTT